AGGTTCAAAGGATAAAACCTACCTCTCCGTATGCAAGGATCATCCGGGGAACACAACGTGTCCTCCTATCTTCGTGTCTTTTAAGTCTCGAAAATCAATTTTCATTCATGTGGGGGATTGTTGGAAAAATGTGTTAAAAATTGCATTAAATGGTCATTTTGGGGCAATTATTTGAGTGGGGTCCACTTCCGACTTGGGTCGGGTCAAAGTGGTTTCGGATTGTCCTTGTTAAGGGCTACAATTCGATATGTGGTACACTCAAAACGGATAACGGGTGAATGAGAAATTGATTCTCGAAGTTCACTCGTTGAAATGGAAAAACTGGGAAAATGGTGAGTTTCTAGTGTGTTTTATCCCACACCGAAAAACTCAAGGGATTTTCACCCCCTTATAAAGGGAAGCCTCTTTTAAGGAGTTAAGATTCCTAGAGGGAAAGGCTCTCTCTTACGCGCAGGGGGGGGGGGGTGCCGATCAAATCCCGAAACGGAGAAGAAAAACCGCGACTTGTGTGTGCGGGCGACCTCGAACATAACCCCTCCAAGGGGTGTTCTGTTGGGGTCTTCTGTTGGCTTCGGACAGAAATCCTCCAAGAGGTGTTCTGTTGGCTTCGGACAGAAACCCTCCAAGGGGTGTTCTGCTGGCTTCGGACAGAAACCCTCCAAGGGGTGTTCTGTTGGGGTCTTCTGTCACGCATTTCTTCCGTTACAACAATTAATGCCCAACGTTCTTCTCTTTTAATGCTGCGTTAAATGGACAGTTTATGGACGATTCAATGCCCAACGGACTGGTCATTGATGTCCAACGTTCAGGTCCATTAACACCCCATTTAACACACAACAAATCCTCCTATAAATAGCTGGCAGGTGCTTTGCAACAAACACACGGTTTGACATAACGCACAATACATTCCTCACGTATTCTTCAGCTAAAAACGCCTACAGCTACTCTGAAAATTCCTTCTGTGTTCTTCTTGGTTCTTGTTCGCTGGAACTCTTGTTTGTGTGCTCAAACATTAGTTCGTAGTCATCGTATCCTGGGAAACGATTGTTGCAACGCTCCTAGCACCATGGCAGGCAACAAATACGTTTTAAGGAAATCGTGCGTAGCACGAGCTTTGACTAATTCTGCTTCATCTCCTTTCTTGTTTTTCTCTAGTCATTTAATTTAATTAATTTATTTTAATTAATTTTCTTTATTTTCCGAAACACACCCAACACGGGGTTCGGTTTCGGCCAGCCAATTTGTTATTATTGATCAGTCTGGAGGGTGGACGAAGGTGGTCGGTCAGGAGGTTACGGAGATCATTGCGAGGTGAGATCCGTCGAGGTAGATTTGAGCAGCAACGTTTCGGGAGGCGTTCAACGGGTTTAACGAAGCAGTGATCGAAGCAGACGGATTGATCTGTGCAGCAGCGGTTCCGGAGTTTTTAGTTGGCTTGTTAAGGCATAGAGATTTATGGAGAATATTGTTGATCAATACAAAAAGATGGCAATTGGTGCAAAAGAAGAAGAACTGGCGAGCAATGGGAAAGTGATCGATCCGGTGATTGGCATGATAGGTTCTCAGATGAATTTTCTGGAGGTTGAAATTCTCTTCTATCATACTACAGCAGCTCGCCCTCCTCCGGAACCACCTCCCTGCGAGGAAGTAACTTGGGGAAAGTTTTTATTTTCGTATTGTTTTTCTCTTCGCAGTACTTATTTTTATTTCAGTTCGACCGAGTATGGTCGGAGTATTTTGATTTCTGATGAACTCTTGATAGGCAGTGTTTCATTTTTGGTCGTTTTAGGCTTCTTCTTGCCCGTTTTGTGTCTAGTGAGTCATGTTGCTTTGTATGGGTGACTGACTCTAAGTCTATTCTTAGGGCTTACGATCAGATCTGTAATATGTGTCTGAATTTGATGTTGCGTGTTTGCTCTATTTTAATGGAAAGCCGTTTTGATGATAAAAAAAATCTTTTATCCTTTTTCGTAATTTAAAATCATCTCTTCTACATTTTTCAAATAATTACTTCTATGTCTATAACTTTCCTCTTTAATAATGTGCAAAGGCACATGTAAAGATTTTTAAAATGTAGAGGAAATATAAAGATATATGGAGTACTCCCTCCGTTCTTTAATAACCCTCTCTTATTCCATTTTGATCTGTTTTTAATACTTGTTATTTTTTCCATATTAAGAAAGTTTTTGAGATAAATACCCCCATTTTTATTACTTTTACCATTTTTACTTTTACATATTTCTTTCTCTTTCCTACTTTATAATTGCTTTACTCTTCTTAATATACTCTCTTTCCTACTTTATCATCAATTTACTTTTCTTGATATACTCTCTTTCCTATTTTATCATTTACCTTATACACTCTATAATACTCCTACTATTTTTCTCTTAAAACCCGTACCCAAACCTAAAGAACAATTAATTAAGAAGGGAGGGAGTATAAGGTATGCAATTGGGGGAAGGACCAAAAATAACACTAAGGACATGTTTACTTCACGGGTAAGTAAACGGTGCTTATTAAGACTCGCGTTAATAAGCGGCGCATAAAATAAGCGGTGTTGTAAGCTCATGTTTACTTCAAAGGATTTAAAACACTGTTTAACATTAAAATGTTCAAAATAACCCTATAGATATATACACACACAAACATTCATGAACACAAGCATATAATATAATATGTGTGGTCACGTCGTACGCTTAGTCGCTTACCCACACCCCTAACCCCTACCCCGCCCTGTACCCCCACCCCTCACCCTACCCCCAATTCCACACCCTTGACCCCATCCCTACCCCCTACCCTTACCACGACCTTACCCTCCACCCCTACTCCCACCCATATACCAACCCCCCAACTCGTAGGGGTAGGGGTAAGGTGGGGGTGGGGTATGGTCGGGTCAAGGTTGGGGGTAAAGGGGTAGGGGTGGGGTCGGGTCAAGGTAGGGGAATGTGGTAGGGGTACAAGGGTAGGGAAAGGGGTGGGGGTGGGGTGGGGTAAGGTAGGGTAGGGCGGGGTAATGGTCGGGTCAAGGGTGGGGTGGGGGTGGGGGTAGAGGTAAAGGGGTAGGGGCGGGGTAGGGGTGGGGTCGGGTCAAGGTAGGGGAAGGTGGTAGGGGGTACAGGGGTAGGGTAAGGGGTGAGGGGGTGGGGTAGGGAAGGTGGTGTAGGGGTCAGGGTAGGTGGGGGTGGGGGTCAGGGTGGGGTCGGGGTAAGGTAGGGTAGGGCGGGGTAGTTGGGTAGCAATAGGGTAAGGGCAAGGGGTAAAGGTAAGGGTAAATTCGGAAACTGAAAAAGCTTAAAGTGCTGCTTAATTAATACATGGGGGGTGGTATGCTTAGTAAGCGGCACTTTAAGCATCTCTTTCGGTTAGTAAGCAGCGTTTTAAGCAACTTGCGTGTTTACTTCACATGTCTTACTAACCTAACTGTGCCTTCAGCATCGAAGTAAACGCCTCCTAAGGTTTTTAATGAATCTCGGATTGGACACTGAGGTTTTTAGTAGACCAAATAAACACATATTCCAACTTTGTCTTTGATTATCAACCATCCACTAACACTCCCGTTAAAGAGACGTCTTCTCCATCGATTACAAACACACCCCCATTTGCAACATTAAGTCATTCTCCATGGACGGTAAGTATGAGTGGCCTGAACTTCGTACCCAATCTCCTTCAAAGACAATGCAACATTAAGCATTATTACTTGGTAAGTATCAACCAACAAATTAACAAAAATCTATCAGAATAATGAAAAACCAGTGTACCAACTAACCACCAGACATTCCAAACAATAATTGACATGGTAATATCAATACTCACGAATTAGAGTTTGGGTTTTCTGTGGGGGGATCCCATTGCTCTCCCAGCCTCAACAGAGACATTGAGCTTAGCTAAAATTTTGTAAAGCTCAAACTTAAAATCTTCACAAAAATCTAATCCACCAATTAAAAAACTCGAAATCCCCAGACCCAACATCACTTGCCTTTGAGAAATAAATTTTCTGATTTTTCCTCCAGTGAACAAAGTAACAACATCTGGAACAACAAAGTGAAGTAGAAGAACAGTCTCACAGTACAAATCCACTGCAAATGGTCAATCTTCTTGAACACTAGTGCCCTTGTGTGTCTCGATTTGAACCTATGAAGCCTGGTTACTCCCGGTCTTTCTTGAATTGAACACCACTTTCAAGAGAACCCATTTATCCGCCCATCAAATATGACTCTTAATAGATGCATTCTATTAAGAACCAAGTAACAACATCTGGAACAACAAAGTGAAGTAGAAGAACAGTCTCACAGTACAAATCCACTGCAAATGGTCAATCTTCTTGAACACTAGTGCCCTTGTGCGTCTCGATTTGAACCTATGAAGCCTGGTTACTCCCGGTCTTTCTTGAATTGAACACCACTTTCAAGAGAACCCATTTATCCGCCCATCAAATATGACTCTTAATAGATGCATTCTATTAAGAACAAGACTTTCAAGAAAGAGAGAATATCAATCTTCCTTGCTTGTCATCGGCTGCTTGTGAAATTGAGAGTAATTTTTTTCTTTCCTTCTCCAGTAAAAGAAAGTATGGCTTAGGGTTAGAAATTGGGGATGTGTCATGTGTGTTTAATGGAAGGAGAAGACATCGTTTTAACGTCAGCTTTAGTGGGGTGGTTGATAATCAACGAAAAACTTCAAATTGGTGTTTATTTGGTCTACTAAAAACTCAATGTCCAATTTGAGATTCATTAAAAAAGATAGTGTCATTTTTTGACCCTTTCTCTGGTTCGTAAAATGACACTACTAAAGTTGGCAAGTTGCACACTGAAGTCAAATTTTACCCATCACCATCGCCATCTCTTGTTCGTAACTTACAAGCCACGACAAATTACCCCACTCTCTTCTGAGTAATTAATTAATTAATGTTTCACCTGAAAATCATTAAATTTACCTCCACGCGGATTTAGGGAGTATCATTATTTATTACCTAGTACTATGCTAAAGTAGGAAATTAGTGATATATATGAACGCACCCAAACGGTTGTTTATAAACCAAACATGGCTAAAGATAGTCTTATTTCTCACCTCACAATTGTCGGCATCTTTCTGACGTTATTTCAGCTCATAAAATCAGCACCGGAGGGTGCACTGGTCACTCAGGTTCCTGGCTTCAGTGGCACTTTCCCTTCAAAGCACTATGCTGGGTATTCAATTCCTGCTCCCTTTTTGTTCATCGATTTCCTTTTCCTTTTTTTGTAAGTGGATTTGTTGGGTTTTCTTGTGTTTTTCTGGTGGAAGGGCGGGTAAAGAATAGGGATACTACTATGTGTTTGTGTTTTTGCTTCAGTGGATAAAGACAAAAAAGGTTTTGTTTTTACACCACACCAAAGTAACAGACAGTTAATGCATTTATGATTTACCAGACATTGATTTGCTGCACTTATTATGGAAATCAATGTCTCTTCGAACACGTAGTACTTTTGGCAGTAGGCCCAGTAACGATGATTATTTGATGATCATAAACAAAAAACAATATGTAATTTTCCTGGTAAAATATCACACAGGTATGTGACCATAGATGAGAGTACTGGGAAGAGCTTGTATTACTACTTTGTGCAGTCCGAGAGAAGCCCATTAGAGGATCCCGTGATTCTGTGGCTCAATGGTGGGCCAGGCTGCTCTAGCTTCGACGGCTTCGTCTATGAGCACGGTACTTCTTCTAGCTCACTGATTTGTTGAATTTCTTCTTTTCCATTCTTTTTTGGGGGTTTCTCATGGCGGTGGATAATTTTACTCATTGAAATCTTCTAATTTCACTACAATAATTCATGTCATGTGATGTGATCGAGTGATACCGTTGAACGTCATGCGCCTACCGCAACATCCTCCCCCTTTATCCCGACTTGGGATAAGCATGATACCAAAAAATGATCATGACGGAGTTGAAGCTTCTAATTTCACTATTTTGATAATAATAGTTGGGTGTGAGTTTTGTTATGGTTTTATGAGATTTAGCTTATGTATGTTTAAATCCAACATTATGGTTTAACCACTTCAATTGTGACTCCAATAAGCTATGTTTGGATTCCGGGAAATGCTAGGAAAATGAAAGAAAATGCAATTCCGTACTAAGTATGTTTAGAAATTTTAAATTATTTGTATTACGTTTTCTTTCTCTGTATTTCATTTTATTTCATTTTCATTTACCCAAGTGCCGCAAAGGCTCCCACCTACGGTGGGGTAAGAGGGGTTGGATGTACGCAGTCTTACCCTTGTACTAAAGCACAGACCTTGTACTAAAGCACAGAGAGACTGTTTCCGGATGACCCATAGTGAAAATCGCGTCCAAAATTGCATGGACCGACTGATGCTCCATAACAAAGAAGCACAGACAGTTTAGTGAGCCATTTTGCTTTATTCCATCATAATCTCAAGCTAAAAAATAATGAATCTTTGGCTCCATTGCAAATGATGGAAAATTTCTCTCTGTATTTATTTGAAAGAAATAAATTTCGAAATGTGAATCTCAAATCTCTACAAAATTATAAGAGGGAATGTTGCTAAGGGTATAACAGTCATATGAAAAATGTTGGTGTCTCTCATTGCATAATCTTAATGTACATAGTGTTTCTTTTGTTGCACTTTTCTAACTCTCTATTCAACGCCCATGTCTTACCCTTAGTTAGTTTAGCACCGTTAATACTTCCGTACGTCTATTGATCTGTCCTCTGGTATCTCAATCCACTACGGGTGAGAGGTTTTTTGTTTCTTTAAAAACAAACTATCACACCCCTCAAAAGCAATATATCCTCCTTTTTGCTCCAAAAGTTCAAATGTTCCTAAAGCTTTTCAATGTTTGTGTTGATTGTTCTTGTAAGTTTTTCTCTATTCATACAATTTACATTTTACATTTGCTATTGATTACTCCCTCCGTCAGGTTCCAACTTTTCTTTTTGAACGTCCCATATAAAGGTTCTTATTTCCATTTTAGGAAACTATTAACAATTTCAAGTGATAAATTAATCATTAAATATTAAAAAATAATACATTTATAACATCACGTACAATTATCAATACTAACTACATTATAATATATACCTATTAAAATATACTCAAAGTACTTTATTTAATTATTGTCTAAATAATCGTGTCATTTTACTATGGGAACCTTCCAACGGGACGGAGGTAGTATAAGTTTTACTTTTTCCAATGTTCTTTGCTTCAATTTGATTCCTTATTTCGGTCCTGATTATTATCATCTTAGTTTTAACCCCCTGAAATTATAATGCTGGTAGGCTTTTGGGTTACTATTTATTGAATTCATTAATCGTAGCTATATATTTTCACAAATCAAAGCACACGCTATATTTATTTTAGTGCGCTTCAATTATCCAGCTGTTCTAAAATTATATTCACTTTGTTCAAAAAATTCCTTAAATAAGAGTAAAAGATCGACACAGTTTATAAATAAGAACATCATTATTTTTTTCCTAAAATATGACTCATGCACTCTTAATTGAGTAAGTTTTGTCTTTTAAATAGAATCAAATAACTCCTATTTTGAGAATTAAATATAATGACTTAATTTTGTCTAAGTTTTACTTCTACTTTGTAATTTCAAAACGTTTTTACTTTTATTAAGGGCAATTTCTAAACAGCTACATGTGATCAAATAATATGCTTGGGCATTTTGTTGAAACGCGCATGGCGCGTTCATAAACGAGTAATAATAATAAACACGGAGTATGAGTTTATTGAGTTTGAACTGATGGTTTTTGTTCCCAGTAATTTGCCTTCCTTTCAACTTTCTTTTCTAATTTGTCCATATTTCTTTCTTTAGCATTTCCCAAGTTCCAAACCAACCTAGTCTTTCAGGAGGTTACTTCTGTATATCGGATGCCATTGAATTGGTCCTTTTGTTTACTCTAAGAATTTGAACGCGACCTTTTTGGTAATATTTAATCTTTACTATTTTACATCTTTGAATTCACATATACTCTTTGATAGTATATGAACCCTAGATCTAAATTTGAGATATATAAGAGAGGAATGAGAGGTAGAAAGAAAAATATTTTATTAGTGTGTATTAGGTTAAATAAGATGATCCCCTATTACATGAACCCCAAAAGTCCCACACGAGTGTTTATAAGCATACAAGGTTGAAAGCTAACCACTGGACATATACAGGACACTGTCCAAACCCAATAGTCCCAACATTGGAGATACAAACTCATATATTTCATCACTCTTATTTAGCCTTGATGAAGATCCGCCTATTGCGAATATTTTAATGAAAGAGCTTGTTATCGTCATTGTATTTTACATTAATATTCTATATCTTATATTTGATATATTTTGCTTTTTAATTTTTGTTTTATTTATATTTTGTATTTTTATATTTTGCATTTTATATTATATGGAGTATAAAATATTTTTTTAGCTTTTATATTTGATGCTTTATAATATTTATATTTTATAATTTTTACTTTATTTTTCATTTGATAAGTGTATTTGTATTCTAATATAATACATTCCAACAAACAAACAAATAAATGTGTGTATACCGGTTCCTTAGCGGTTCCGCTAGAATTGTAAGCTAGAAGTAGGAATGGAACTGTTAAGAATCTATAACCCATAAGTATAAACTGGGTCATAACAGTTTAGCTCTAATCAGTTCTCCCGTTCTAAAATTCAGCATTTCAGCCATAGTCAGGTGCACTATATGCACTTTACAGGATGATGTAGCAGATAAACGCGAGCTTACTTATAAAACAAAGAATTGGAATCGTTTCAATGAGTTTAGGGTGTGGATTGGATTTTTGTTCAAGGACCGAATTGATCAAATGGATTAGGTATAGGGCCCAGTTGACCATTTATACAAAAACTCTATTTTCTATAGTAAATATTTCATTTCCCTGCCATATTTCATGTTCCAAGAAAAGCTTAAACAGGTTCCTACTGAAACTCTTTGAACAACTACTCTCCATTAGAAAAAATGATGTTTGCTTATTGCATGTTTCACTCCTGTTTTGGTATCCGTGCAATAAGAATTCTGAGATCTGGATATGTTGGAAATTGGATTTGCCAAATTGGATAGTATGGCTCTGGAAAGGATGACACCCCATCTCTGAGGGCCCCTAACCCCGACCGGACGGTACGTTGGGAGGATGTAAATTGGACCAATCTGACAGATAGAGAGTGAGGCTCTGTCCCCGGTACTTGCAGAACTTCTATACATTTTTATATACGTAGTACATTTTTAGCATAGTAACCCCTCATCGCAGTTGCCGGGATTCGAACCCGAGACCTAACCCTTGTGTAACTCCCTTGCTACCGGTTGAGCTACGCCCACCGGTATAGTATGGCTCGGGAGTTAATGGAGTATGGGGATTTAGACTACATTATAATAATGACATAATAAGAAAAAGGTCAGATTGTGACTTTTCTAGCTTATATAGTGGAGGCCAAGGAAAGAAGAGAGTTCATTCTCCAAGGAAAGAAGAGAGTTCATTCTCCATCTTTATGTTCTTCATTTGCAGGACCATTCAATTTTGAGCTGGGGAACACAAGTGACAGCCTTCCCATTCTCCATATTAATCCCTATAGCTGGACCAAGGTAATAATTTTTATTTACTCACACTTACTTTCTTTTCTTCTTCTTGGATGTCATTTTGATCACAACACCCTATAATATTTATCTTTCACACATTTATTTCATATTTTGGATTGTTATTAATATAGAAGGGGTATTAAAACTACAATATTTGGAAAATTTCCTCCATTGCCTTTTAAACTACTGTGAATTTAATTTCCTTTACTGACTTGCTCCGTAATATTTAGCGAAAGAGAAAATTTCACTATTGCTCCCGCAACTTTAATTTTTACCGTTATGGTGCATGACTAAAATTTCTTGCCCCTTTTGATCTTTTTGATCAGCGACCTATTCTCATTGGATATGCTATCGGAAATGATCAAAGGTGACAATGAAATGTATAGCTGTCCGCTTATTGCGGAATAAATGAAAAATGGGTTAACCAATTAATAGTTTTAGGATCAAGAGTGGAAAACTTTATTTAATGAAATTCTCTTGATCTTTATAGGTCAGCAACATTATATATTTGGACTCTCCTTCCGGCGTTGGATTATCCTATTCAGAAAATGAAACTGACTACGTAACCGGGGACCTAAAGACTGCTTATGATTCCCATGCCTTTCTCCTCAAGGTATTTTTGGATATAAATTAGGGCGCATTTGGAAAGGATCATTTGGTGAATTTGCTAAGTTTAAAAAATGTTTGTGAATTCGATTTTAGCCAGATAAGTACTTCCTCCGGTTCTCAAACAACTTCCCACTTTCCTTTTCGGGAAGTCCCGAAATTATCTTCACACTTCTTATTTCCTTATTTGGCAAATTATCTACACCAAAACAGTGCAAAACAGTGTCAAACAGTGCCAAACAGTGTGAAACAGTGTCCAAACAGTGCCAAACCGTGCACTCCACATTAAAGTCAAATTTATTTTATTAATCTGTGTGAAGTCAAACTGTGAAGCTCTTTGAGAACCGGAGGGAGCAAGTCATATGCTACTTATTCCACATAATAAGCCCAACAAGCAGTAATAATAAGCCCAACAAGCCAATTACTGCTATCAAATGAGATTAATTTTTTATTTTTTGAAATCATTTGCTTTAGTTTTCTCATTTAACACGACGGCTTATGCATGTGTTCTCATTTGTGAGACTAGTGGTTCGAGCAATATCAAGAATTCCTTTCCAATCCATTTTTTATAGCTGGGGAATCCTATGCTGGAGTATATGTACCAACTCTGTCTTATGAAGTAGCAAAAGGTATTTCTTCTATAAACTTATATAATCAGTGATTGGGAAATGAACTAAACTTTTTGGCTCTACTTGCAGGCATTGATGCTGGCATACATCCTATTTTAAACTTTAAGGTATTGTTGTGCTTCGTCGTGAATTTAATCTTGAGTTTTATATAAGCTCTAAATAAGTACATTATATGCAGGGTTACATGGTAGGGAATGGAGTGGCAGATGATGAGTTTGACGGTAATGCCCTTGTGCCATTTGCACATGGGATGGGCCTAATCTCAGACGCATTATATGAGGCATAAGTCTTCTCCTTTTCTTATATCCACATCAATGCCTTTAGATATGCTATCATCGTTTCACTTTATGAAGAATTCTTACAGTTCTTTATTCATGAGCAGGAAGTTGTATCTGAATGCCACGGAAAGTACTATGAAACCAACAGTAGCACTTGTGATGACAGGCTAAACAAAGTTGATGCAGTAAGTGTTTCATTTCTACTACATTGTCTATTCATATCTTACACACTCAAAACACACCCATCCACACAATATGTATGTATGTGTGTATACTACCTCCGTCCCGGTGGACTTTGCCAAGTGCAAAGTAGGTGAGAAATAAGAATAGTAAAAACTGTATGGTTGAGATTTGTGCAGAGAGAAATGTGCAGAACCACAAATTAGTTGCTTTAATAGGAAAGTGACAGTATTTTAGGACAACCAAAAAAGGGAAGTTGGCAAAGTCCAATGGGACGGAGGGAGTATAATTCTATATACACTGAAACCTACAATCTAATGCACCCAACAATCCACCATATTGTAGGACTTGAATTAAGTTTATGATTTATACAGGACATTGCAAATTTAAACATCTATGACATTCTAGAGCCATGCTATCATTCTAAAGGACCTAGTAGGATCATGATTTCGAATTCCAAAAATTTACCATTGAGCTTCCGGAAACTTGGTGAGACCAAAAGACCTCTTGCTGTGAGAACAAGAATGTTTGGGCGTGCATGGCCCCTTAGAGCACCTGTAAGAAAGGGAATTGTCACAATGTGGCCTGAGCTTCTCCGAAGTGGCAGTGTCCCTTGCTTTGTAAGTCACTTTCAAGCCACTATTGATGTTTTAATGTTTTGTTTTTATGGATCATCTATTTATTGTACAATAAACAAATGGTGCATGCTATGTTACAATAAACAAATGGTGCATGCTACCGTACCTATAACACATTTGATTGGTTCACATCATTATTTCATCATTCATTTATATTTTAATTGTTTAATTGCAAAATCTTGATTGGTCTATATGCACAAGGTACAGTACCTTAATTTGCCTAAATTTAATTAGTTTCTTTTATGTAACAAATCCATGACACTGCCCTTAAACTATGGAGATCGAAAATGCAGGATGATAGAGTTGCTACTGCATGGCTGAGCAATGCAGAAGTGAGAAAAGCAATTCATGCAGAAAAAGTAAGATGATGATGCCATCTCCAAGTCTCCAACACTACGTCAACTTTTATATCAGTGGTTAACAATTCTTTGGCAAAACAGGAAGATATTACTGGCCCTTTTGAGATATGTACGGACAGACTTACATTTTCACATGATGCTGGAAGCATGATCAAATATCATAAAAATCTAACATCTCGGGGTTATCGGGCACTTATATACAGGTAAAATTTCTATTTCCACTTCTGAGTTCATTATGAACTTTACATCAGTGATGTCAACAAAACAAGGAGCCCCACCGGAGAATCCGAAAAACTTATGATTTTTGGGTCATAAAAGGCAAGGCCCAGAAAATAAAACAGACCCTAACAACCAAAATTAAAAAGTAAAGATGCCCAAGAGGCGTGGCCGGATTAATATCACTAGTCACTATGCCAATATATCGATTAAATAATCAAATTTTCTTGATAAAGAGTATGAAGTTCTTGAAGAATAATATCACTATTTGATGTGTTTATGCTTATATTTCTCAAAAACAGAACACTTATCACATTTGTCTTGCATTAAAGTTTTATTGTTAAATAGTTGCTGAATTTCAATTTACTCGTGTTTTGTTCTTCAAATGTGTTTTGATTATGTCATACTATCATATTACAGTGTCACCGTACTATAAGATTACACATTTTGACTACTTGATGTGTTTATGCTTATATTTCTCAAAAACAGAACACTTATCACATTTGTCTTGCATTAAAGTTTTATTGTTAAATAGTTGCTGAATTTCAATTTACTCGTGTTTTGTTCTTCAAATGTGTTTTGATTATGTCATACTATCATATTACAGTGTCACCGTACTATAAGATTACACATTTTGACTACTTGAAAAGCATGTAATGAGACATGTTTAGGGCTATGGCCTAAAATTTGTAGCCAAGAAAATGAAACCCCAAATTCCTGAAAAGTACGACATGAGAAGCAGTTCCTGTGATCAGTCAATCCCAAAAATCAATGGTCCAGGCATCCAGCCTGATTGACATCTTACACTACTTTACATACTATGTATGTTTTTATTGGGACTTGTTTCAGACTCAGACTAGTCCTGACCAAACTAGCCTTAAACAACCAGATTGGACTTAGACAATAGTATAACACACATACACAGATATACTAGACATTTACAAGACCAGACTTAAGTAGATCAGATTTAGACAAATCAGATATGACTAGAAAATTTCAGTTCAAGTGAAAACATCCTTAACATGCTTTCCTTAGATGATATGGTTTCTTGTCTTCTTGATTTACTGGTTAAACCAACATTTCTTGCAGTGGAGATCATGATATGTGTGTACCGTACACTGGGACTCAAGCATGGACAAAGTCGATTGGGTATAAGGTCACTGATGAGTGGAGGGCTTGGATGGTGGATGAACAAGTGGCAGGGTATGCTTCATTCTTATATTTATATTTGAGAAATGGAATACTTGAGCAACTTACTTTTTTTGTATTTTTCATTTTGTCATCTTTCTTCTCTTTTGTTTCAGTTTACATCTTTTCTTGTAATTGCTGACATAAAACATCTGCTATAAATTTGATTCTATGTTTGCAGATATGTTCAGGCTTATGACCACAACCTCACCTTTCTCACTATTAAGGTATGCTCACTCTGTAGCTAGAAACACTTGGGGTTCGTTTGGTAATGTAATAATGTTTCATGTTTACGTTTTCAATTTTTCCCCCAATTTCTAAAGTATAAAACATGCTTTACTAGTCTGATTTGTATAGGGTAATTATATGGAAACATATATGACTTTCACCGTGGAGTCAAATGGCTTATGTGGCTTCACCATGGTCACTTATTTTCATAACGAGGTCACCAATTATTAATTCAATAAAATATGACTTTATAGCAGAATCATATAGGATTCCATAAAAGTTTTGTTTTGTATATGTGATTTATATGGACTATTATTCTTTTTTATAAATTAACATATTTTTATTAAAAATTCTAAGTGTTTTATAAACATTGTCAAAATAAAACACATTGTATATGATTGAATAAAACAAAATGGTTCACTAAACTGTCCGCGCTTCTTTGTTATGAAGTAGCCGTCAGTCCATGCAATTTTCGACGCGATTTTCATTATGGGTCATCCCGAAACAATCTCTCTGTGCTTTAGTATAAGGGTAAGGCTACGTACATACGACTCCCCTTACCCCACCGTTGGGACTGGGGTAATGAAGATGATGATGATTAAGGCATTAGGTTTGAAAATCTACTAATTGCTTTTGAGAAACTGGAAACAAAAGCACCACTGTCAAGTCCCTTTTCATAATTGTATTTTCTAAAACGAAAAAACATAAAGCATCACCAAACGAAGCCGTACATTTTATATCTTACCAGTAATTTGTTACTGTGGGATTGATACACGCTCATCTTTCAGGGTGCGGGACACACTGTCCCAGAATACAAACCACAGGAAGCTTTAACATTTTATACTCGCTGGCTCGAGGGAATTAGCATCTGAAGCATCAGATACTACATATGAGGAACAAGATTATGACAATATATACGAATAATTCTTATTTTTTTCCCTCAGTGTACTGGCTTTATTAATTTCTATGGAAATCTTGGTTTGCCATGACTCTTTTGCTATTAATGAAAGAAACAATCATAAAGTCATAGAACCTTATGCTTTTTTTATGGTAACCTTATGCTTTGATATATTCTGACTTTCCAGTGTGGCACAGACGTTTTCTGGAATCATTTAACCGTTGGTTAAAGTTATATTTATATATTCTAGATATATAACAGGGTATGTTTGGAATTTTGGATATGAAACACACCAAGGGAAGTTAATTTCTCGTGTTTGGTTATACTAGCAAAAGGAAATATAAGTAGTGTTTTTATTTTTCTACACATGTTTAGGCTTCTTATCTTAGTTCTCTTCATAATGCAATAGCAACAAACAAATAAGGTGAGTTTGATCAAATGCCTAAGATAGATTTAAGAAGTAATAACTAATCTATGATTAAAATAAAGACATTGAAAAGACACAGCAACTATTCTTTATATGTAGTTGCCATAATTTTAACAGTATGACCATAAATATGTTCATAATGTATGGTAAATTCCACTTTTGGTCCAATGACTATTATACCAGTTCCACATTTAGTCCCTTACTTTTCCTAATTAACCCTCCTCCCACACCCAACCCCCCAACCCACCCCAAATGGCCCAAAATACCCAGCCCAACCCGAAAAGTTAAAAAAAAATTGAAAAAAAATTTAAAAAGCCAGGAATCGGACCCGAACCGGCCGGGCTGGTTCAGCTTTTGGGTGACCCGAGCCCGCACCGGGAAACCCCCGGGCCGGGCCTACCCGGACCGGTCACTGGCCGGGCCACCGGGCCGGGCCGGTTCAGCACAGTACCGGTCCCGGGCCGGTTCCAGGCCGGGCCACCCGGCCCGAGTCCAAGCCTATTCCTCCCTCTTTTTCTCCTATCATTTATCTTCTTTAACTTTTTAAGTTCTTATGTTATTTTTATTTTCTAACTATTTTATGTTCTTTTATCTTTTTATTTTTTAGCTTTCTTATATTCTTAAGTTATTGTTATCTTATATTTATATATTTTTGTTTTATCCGTTTTATCTTACTTTTTTCTTCATCTTCTTCTTGTTTGTCTTCTCTTTTTGACATCAATATCATGGATCGATGTTAGCCAACCCCAAAATCTTTTGGGATTAAGACTTGGATGTTATTGTTATTGTTATATACTAGATTCACACCCGCGCGATGCGCGAATGAAAATTTACCAATTTATGATTAAGAAGTCTATAATAAAAATGCAAAAAGAATTGAACACAAAATAAAGTGGTAAGTAATACGGAGTATTAAATGTTCGTAGTTAAGGAGAGATCGAGACATCGTCTAAGACGGGCGAATGTAATTTTTTGTTGGCAAAGGAAAATGTGAATATTAAAAAAGAGATAACATTTCAAAGTACGAAGTGGTAAGTAAAACTTTAAACGCTGCAACGTAAAGTGATACGACAAATTCCGATATTTGATAACATTTTCAGCAAAGAAATACACTAATTAATTACATGTAATTATGAAAATAAAAAAAACATTTGTTCTATCTGTTATTTATTTACTCGTAAAGGACATCTGATTATTGACCATTTAGCTCACGTTCAACAATAATAGTAGAAAACACATTTAAACTTTTTTTAAAAACACAAAAATAAACAAAGCTTTTTTTGAAAGAATAAATAATACATTTTAAGTATATAAAATTTGTATTGAATTAAAATAAATACTAAATACCATTTTTTCTGTCTGCTAAGATATTAGAGATTCCTTCATTTGCAGTTGGTCTAGTGAATTTTGAAGAACCGGAATTGATTCCCACAAGTCGAGAAGGATGCTGACTTTCGACCCTACAATCAACATTTTTTGCAGAATAAAAGCAAAAAACAAAAATTTATTGTGAAATGAAGAAGATGAAGATCAAATTTAAGAGATAGATATATAGGTAAAAAGCTCTAAATTACTTCTTCTTAATATCTGAATATTTTCTGAATTTATGAGTACATTTACAAAGGGTTGATCACCCTATTTATACTAGTTGGTTAGGAGATGAATCATCAAAGAATTATTCTACATAATCTGCTGGAAACATTAAACCTAGCCATCTGTCTATTACAAGGATGGAAATCGGATTAGTGTCCTGATGACAAGGATGAACAATTCACACTTGTCATTCTCAGGATTTTACAACACTCCCCCTTGAATGTTCATCCTTGAATAGATATTTATTATTTTAAAAATTTATTGTGAAAATTAAGGGGTAAAGATTACGACTTATAATGTCGTTGTATTTGGATGTACTGTCTCGTTAAAAACCTTATCAGGAAAAACTCAGTGGGATAAAAACCTGATGAAGGAAAAAAGAGTGCAGTGCATTCAAATACTCCCCCTGAAATTAACATAAATTTTGAAGGCGGCGCATGCCGATTTTCTGCACAAATTCTATGAACTTCTTTGGGGGTAAAGATTTGGTGAAGAGATCAGCCGGATTTTCACTAGATCTGATTTATTGAATGTTGATCGTCCCTTCTTTCTCCATATCATGAGTAGAGAAGAACTTTGGTGATATGTGTTTCGTTCTGTCTCCTTTGATGTAGCCTTCTTTAATCTGAGCTATGCACGCAGTGTTGTCTTCGTAGATCACAGTAGGATGACAAGTAATAGGCTTCATACTGCATTCGTTTTGGATGTGTTGAATCATAGATCGCAGCCACACACATTCTCTTCCGGTTTCATATAGTGCAATTAACTCAGAATGATTTGATGATGTAGCTGTCAATGCTTGCTTCATAGATCTCCACGAGATTGCGGTGTTACCATAAGTAAATACGTACCCGGTTTGTGATTTTGCCTTTTGAGGATCTGATAAATATCCAGTGTCTGCATATCCGATTAAAGCGGCTTTTTCATCTTTGTGGTAGAATAGGCCGAGATCAGCTGTACCACGAAGATAACGGAATATGTGTTTGATCCCGTTCCAATGACGTCTTGTTGGGCATGAACTGTACCTAGCTAATAAATTTACAGAAAATGCAATATCTGGTCTAGTATTATTAGTTAAATACATTAAAGCTCCAATAGCACTTAGATATGGTACTTCGGGACTGAGTATTTCTTCGTCGTCTTCTCGGGGACGGAATGGATCATCGTGTATGTTGAGAGATCGAATGACCATTGGTGAAGTCAAAGGATGAGCTTTGTCCATATAGAATCTCTTCAACACTTTCTCGGTTTAATTGGATTGGTGGATGAAAATTCCATTCTTCAAATGCTCAATTTGAAGCTCGAGACAAAATTTTGTTCTCCCGAGATCTTTTATTTCAAATTCTTTCATAAGATATTTTGCAGTATTCTCGATTTCATCTGGAGTTCCAATAATGTTTAAGTCATCAACATAAACTACAATTATGACGAATCCCGAATTTGATTGCCGAATGAAAGCACATGGACTAATTGGATCATTCTTATATCCTTCTTTGAGAAGATATTCACTGAGACGATTATACCACATTCGTCCAGATTGTTTTAGTCCATATAATGACTTCTGTAGTTTTATGGAAAACATTTCTCGAGGTTTCGAGCTATAAGCTTGAGGCATTTTAAATCCACCGGGGACTTTCATATAAATGTCTGTATCGAGTGAACCGTATAAATATGCAGTCACTACATCCATTAGGCGCATTTGCAGCCTTTCAAAAACAGACATGCCAATTAGAAACCTTAATGTAGTTGCATCAACTACTGGAGAATAGGTTTCTTCATAATTAGTTCCCGGCATTTGAGAAAAACCTTGGGCAACAAGTCAGGCTTTATATCTTACGATTTCATTTTTCTCATTGCATTTACGCACAAATACCCATTTAAAACCCACTGGTTTTACGTCTTTTGGCGTAAGGACTATCGGTCCAAAAACATCACGTTTTTCAAGTGATTTTAATTCAGCCTGAATAGCTTCATTCCATTTTGGCCAATCGTGTCGTTTCTGACATTCTTCAATTGATGTTGGCTCATTGTCATTGTTTTCATTCATAACATTCGTGGCAATGGCATAGACAAATATCTCATTAATATCAACATCTTTATAATTCCATTGCATTCCAGTAGAAACGTAGTTTATTGAAATTTCATAATTATCAACGTTTTTATCGTTATCTGGAATATCTTCCTCGTTTAAGGAAGTTGGATCATCATTTGAGATGTTTGTATTGTCAATATCATTTTCTATGCCAGTATTTTCAAATTTGTTCATTTTCTTGTTCAGAAGGATGAACATCTTTGACATCACAGATCAATTCCTGCCTTTTAGTTTTTCTTGGTTTTATATCTTTGGATCCAAGTGGCCTGCCACGCTTTTTGCGTATAAAAGAATCATTTGCAAGAGATTTTTCAAAATTCTCTGTTGGAATTTTGATTCTGGCAGGAGCATTCATAGCAGCAATATGTGACTTTGTCGCTTTCTTTGTATCTGTGAATGCATCAGGCAACTGATTTGCAACATTTTGTAAATGGATTATCTTTTGCACCTCTTGCTCACATATATTTGATCTGAAATCAAGGTGTGATAATCCTGTTGCATTCCATGTTATTTCTTATGTACTTGGGTCCGATTTATTAGTTTCTCCCCCTAAGGTTGGGAATACTGTCTCATTGAAATGACAGTCAGCGAATCGTGCGGTGAATAAGTCACCAACCATCGGTTCAAGATATTTGATTATTGAGGGAGATTCAAATCCAATATAAATTCCCAACCTTCTTTGAGGACCCATTTTTGTACGATGAGGTGGAGCAATTGGAACATAAACAACACAACCAAATATTTTTATGTGTGCTAAGTTTGTCTCTTGTCCAGTAACTAATTGCATTGGGGAATATTCATGATATGCAGTTGGTCTAAGCCGATCTAAATTTGATGCATGTAAAATAGCATGTCCCCAAGCTGATGAAGGTAAATTACACTTCATTAATAATCGTTTAATCAAAGATTCATCAAGATCATTTTGTGTATGTACATGAGCAACAGGGTGTTCCACATCAATCCCAATCGACATACAATAGTCGTTAAATGATTGAGATGTAAATTCTCCTGCATTGTCAAGTCGGATTCTCTTTATAGAATGATTCGGAAAATGAGCTCTTAATCGTATGATTTGAGCAAGGAGTATAGCAAATGCTAGATTTCTAGTCGATAACAGACTGACATGTGACCAACGTGTTGAAGCATCAATCAACACCATAAAATATCGAAATGGTCCACATGGTGGGGCTATCAGCCCACAAATATCTCCTTGAATCCTTTCTAAAAATGCAGGTGATTTAGTTGCAATTTTGTTCATAGAGGGCCTGATGATCATTTTGCCAAGAGAACAGGCCTTATAAGGAAAAACCCTTGATATTGGAACCCTTATATTCTTTAATGGGTGTCCAAGTGAAGTCTTAATGATTTTATGTATCATTACATGGCCTGGGTGACCTAAACGGTCATGCCACAACATGAATGTTTTCTGATCATCTAACTTTGTGTTAGAAACCAAATTTATTTCAAATGGACTAATATATGTGAAATATAGTCCTGAGGAATATGCTGGCATTTTTTCACAAATATATTTAGTGCCAGATTTAGTTGTTGTAAGACAAATATATTCCTTTTGGTTTTCATTCATGGTTTCTATGTGATAACCATTTTGACGCATATCTTTAAAGCTTAATAAATTCCTCCGCGATTTGCTGGAGTATAAAGCGTCATTTATAATTATTTTGGTCCCGTTAGGAAGCATCACATATGCTTTCCCAGAGCCTTCAATGAGCTTCGCAACACCTGATATGGTATTGACTTTAGCCTCAACTAAAGTCATTTGAGAGAAATATATTTTATTTCTCAAAATGGTGTGCGTTGTGGCGCTGTCTATCAGACATAGCTCTTTATCATTTGAGTGATCCATATCTTCAAAATGTGTAAATAAACATAAGCTTGATCACAAATTGTGTATATAATTTAACATAAAGTACATATTACACACATTTATTTAAAAACAAAAGAAAAAGGGAAGAAAGAAAAAATACATAAAACTAATATGTTACAACATAAGGATCGGAGTCTAATATTTTATTTTGTGACATTTTGGTTTATTACAAAAGCATCGTCCATAATGGCATCATCCGCGAAAAAGTCGGACACGTCAAATTTTGGCAGAGGTGGAGTCGTGTTGTTGACATAATTAGCTTCCATATTTTTGCCGTTGTTCAAATTCATGGAAGCTTGAAATAATTCCACCAGATGCTTTGCAGTGCGGCATTTGTTAGCCCCATGCCCTGTCATGCCACATTTATAACAAGTCGTCTTTACCGAGGTTTTTGGAGGGCGATTTATTTGATGGGCCTTTTGTTTGCCCTTGCCCTTATAATTTGGTCTATTGACCTGTTTATATTCTCGGTGTGACTTATTTTTATGACCATTAAAATGCCCACATTTAAAATGCATTCTACTGCCATTGTATGTTGCATTTGATTAAGTGGCTAAATTATGGCCAGATGGACCATAAACCGAAGGACTAGAACCAGTGGGTCTCAGATTATGATTTTTCATCAAAAGGTCATTATTTTGCTCAGCTACCAATAATACTGATATTAAGTCGGAGTATTTTTTAAAACCATTTTCTCTATATTGCTGTTGGAGCAGCATGTTAGAGATATGCATAGTAGAAAAGGTTTTCTCCAATATATCGGCATCAGTGACTTTTTGTCCGCATAACTTTAATTTAGATGTTATTTGGAACATAGCAGAATTATAGTCACTGATTGATTTAAAGTCTTGGAATCTTAGATTGATCCAGTCATACTGAGCCTTAGGCAAAAGGACCTTTTGTTGGTGGTCATACCTCTCCTGTAAATTGTCCCATAATTCTTTTGGTTCATCAACCAAAAGATATTCAGATTTGAGACTTTCATGGAGATGGTGACGGAGAAAAATTATAGTTTTCGCTTTATCCTGGGAAGATGATTGATTAATAGCCTCAATAATGTCTTCGAGACCATTAGTCTTTAAATGTACTAGAACATCAACTTTCCATTCCAATGGTATGGTCCCCCTCTTAAGAGGTTTGGTGTGGTCCCCCTCTTTTTATGTTATTGATTTTTATTTTTAATAATACCTGACAAATGATCCCCGACATTTGCCCCACTGATTTTGGTGGTTTGCCTTCCAGGGTAAAAAAAAAAAGAGAAACTCCGTCTATTAACACTGAGATATAAGGAAATGATGCGTTAATTTAAGAAAAGTTGGTCTAAATGGTTGATATTAAGAGCCTCTTTGGTAACACTGAATTGACTAATTCTACTGAAATTTATGAAGTTATGGCTAAAGTGCTTGAATTGATTGAATATGCTGAATTATGAAAAATTATACGGAGTATTTGACATACATTTTATTAATAAAATATATATATAATCACATGAAAAATAATTAAAATGATCTTTTAAACTAACTTCAACCAATCTTGTCAAAACTCCAACCTTAATTAATTTGACTATTAGAAAATTCAGCATGCGGAATGAAAATTTATGTGATAGTTGAAAAGTTGACTGATAAGATTGGTAAAGTAAGAATGAAGTAAGAATGATTTAGGACCACATAAATGTTACTCCATTCGTTCCTATTTTATCTTCCAAATAGGATTGGCACACAATTTAAGATAACCGGTATTATGTGGTGAAGAGTTGTGCAGAGGAGAGAGAAATGTGTAAGAAATGTGTAAAAAATGTTATGAAACATAAATTCTTTACTAAAAAGGGAAAGTGGAAGTTTTAATTGGAACGGACGAAAAAAGAAAGTTGGAAGTTTTAATAGGAACGAAGGGAGTACAAAATTTGGTATGAGATAATCTTAGTAGGATAAATAAAAGTGAAAAATGCGCCGATGAGATAACTTTAGCGGGACAGGAGGAGCATATTTAAAAGTTTTTTTTTGTAAAATCCATTTCTTTTGTTCATTTTTGAGGAATATATGAAATTGTAATTGGAACTTAGAATCAAGATAGAAACCAATCATTCCAGCTCACCGGATGGGAGGTTATCGTGTCCTAGCGGAGGTTTCGGGTTTGAATCCCGCTAGGTACATCTAGGGGAGAGGAGGGATGTCTTGCTCCCAATGATTCTTCCTACCTTCACACGGAGTTGCATAACGACTTAGAAGGGAGCAGATGGAAATTCAGGTCACGAGTTCGTGTGGTGGGAGGACCCTTCTGGATACAGATGAAAGGAAGTCCTGCATTGTAGGACCCTTCTGGATTTAGTTGAAAGGAAGTCCCGCTGGATTCATCCTGTGGTACCAGTACCGACGAAGGCTGACTGTGATAATATCCGAATTTGATTGTGTAGAAGCTTTGGAGGGTAGTCAATAGACTCCACGATTATGGGAACGGAAGGACCGACACCTGATTATAAAAAAAATAGAATCAAGATAGAGGAATTTTGGGTAAAGCATTTGCAAGTTTGTCCATTGCTTCACGCTAAAGAAAATGATCCAATGTGTAAGAATCAACAAAACAGTACAGAAATCAAGTCTAATCAAGAAATGTGAGCCCTTCATTACCTCAACCCTTCATTCCTCTCTTGCTTAGCATGAACACCTCCCATTTTCATTGGACTTGATTATAACAATATTCTAAAGCACACACAGAATTGGTGCCCTCCCATTACCAGCACCCCTCATTCTCTATATATCTATTCACCCTTTCCTATCAATCAAAGTTTCTGTTTTCCTTTTCATGCGATTCCTTTCTAAGCAAATTAATCAATAATTTGAGAAGATTCGGTCTTCTCATTCGTCTTCAATTCAATTCACTCTCGTCGGCATTATCTATTGATTGCTACCTCTCCAATTCCAAATCAATTTGAGAGATCCGATCCGATCCTCATTCAATTTGTGGCGGCCGGCGATTTCTGCGGTGGAATGGAAATGGATCCGGCGGAGCTACGTCGGGTGTTCCACATGTTCGACCGGAACGGTGACGGGAAGATAACGAGGAAGGAGCTAAGCGAGTCGTTAGAGAAGCTCAACATCCACATACCGGAGAAGGAGGTGATACAGATGGTGGAGAAGATCGACGTGAACGGCGACGGGTACGTGGACATGGAGGAGTTCGGGACGCTGTACGGGGCGTTGATGGAGGAGATGAGGGACGGAGAGGGCGGGGAGGAGGAGGAGGAGATGAGGGAGGCGTTCAACGTGTTCGATCAGAACGGAGACGGCTTCATAACGGTGGAGGAGTTGAGATCCGTGCTGGTGTCGCTAGGGTTGAAGCAGGGCAGGACGGTGGAGGATTGCCGGAAGATGATCGCGAAGGTTGATGTCGACGGGGACGGTATGGTTAACTATGATGAGTTCCGGCAGATGATGAAGGGCGGTGGTTTTGCCGCCTTAACTTGAATTCTTCATTCCCGTCTCTCTTCTCTTCGATCATTCCCGATTGACTAAATACATTGTTTTTAAGTGATACCGTTGGTGCCTAGCCACTGCCCTATTTGATTTGATCTTGCGAATTTTGTGTATTAAACTATCAAAAATGCTAAGCATATACACTAATCTTTGTATACACATCTTGTACATTTTGTTGTGTTTATCTAGTTAATTTGGCACTATCACCAACAATTCATTCGAGAAACAGACAAAAAATCTGTAAAACTATATTAAATATCTGTGATACAGATAAAATTCCCGAAGCGTGTACACCAAATATGGTTGTTGAACTCCTAAATTCCTTTGGTAATACTCGCCCAATTTATTTTATTTATTCTACTCAAAGCAAAATAAAATGACATCTATACCTCCAACAAAAAACAATGATGAAGTTAAATGTTAGAAATTTCAAAAAAGTTATCCTAAATAAGAACATATATTAGTATTAAGGGAAGAGTTTTAGTGAACTCTTTTAAAACGAGAATACCTTTAGGAAAGAAATCACTACCTTCACCTTTTATTTTTTTCTAATCGATGGTTACAATTGACAAGGTAGCAATTTTGTAATTATTTTACAATAATTACAAAATGGACCCTATTTGAATTTTAAATGGTTATAGATCAGAAATGGTATCGTGTCCATTCCAACAAATGATTGAATAAATGAAAGATTGAGATAGATTAAAAGTTTTCAAAATAAAATGTTTTATGCATGCTCACTACGAACCTTCTCTCAATACTACGGGTTATATATTTTCCAAAACAGAAAATCAATGTCTCATAATATCATAATATGTCTAAATGATTTGTGAATGAGATAACACTCTACTCACATTTCTGGGGGAATTATATTGTACTTTATTTATGAAAACTATCTTGTGATTATCTTTATTTTGGAATATTTCTCAAAGTATTATTTAAGCAAACTCCAAATAGTAGTATGATAATAGTTCTAGACATGTATCTTTGTATATCTTTCAAATGTTTAGATTTTTTGTCGGTGGGCGTAAACCGGTAGATAGGGGTAAGTTTCGGGTTCAAATCGTGACCACTATGATGAGATGTTACTATGTAAAAATGTATAGGGTCTCTGTAAGTTGATGGATCAGGGTCCTACTCGCTATTTGTGAACTTGTGATTAAAGTTCAATTTACAACATCTCAACTAATTATCCGGTCGATGCTGGGGGCCCTCATGGATGGATGTCATCCTTTAGATTTTGAGAGTGGATAGACTGTTCATATGAGTAATTTCAAAACAAAATTGATCTGGCCTGTGGCAGACGAAATTCTCAAATGGAGGGGCGGGAGTGTAAAATCTTCTATTATACAAAAGGGGGAGAAAAACTACACAATGTTCCCGCCCAAAAACATCTCATCAACGGGTCAGGTCGGATCTTCAAAGCATGCTGGTTGATCTGGCTTCTTTGGTCAACAAGTAATAAATACACGGTTCAGATTTCATGGCTCAATAAAGACTAATAAGTGTAAATCATTGTACATAGATTGTTAATGGCTTCATAAGGCTGTCCACAATTCAAAGGGGTGGAAACTCAAATTTGAGGTTTTCACCCCAAATTGAGGTGCAACCCAAAGTATATGAAGTTGTTGTAGTGGGTTGGGAGAACCTTGGAGGGAGGATTTGGACGCTCAATCCACAATAGAGAAAAAGAGCTACGGTTGGTGTGCACACCATAGGAAAAAAAGTGGGCTCTATGAAAACTAAAACCTCGAATTTCTTTAAAATGATATAACTTTTTTATTAATAATCAATTTTTATAAAAAAAATATCAAAATTCATAAATTTTATGATCTTTTATATGACACCAATATCATATATTTAAAGTTAAAAAATATATATGAAGTTTCATCTGATGTAGATCTTTAGGCTCAAAATTATTCTTAAGTAGATCCAAATGTTAAAATCAATCTTTCGTGGATATTTTTTTTACATCTGTTGGTTAAGTTTTTAAAATATAGGTCTGGAATAACAAAAAAAAACTCTAAATTTATTTATTTTTACATCGAAATGTTTAACTATTTAAATCATAATTATTGATAAAAATAAAATTGTCACATAAACGATGTGTATTAAAAAGTGTAAGAATTTGTGCATTTAGTTAAAAAAATGTATTGAGTCAATATAATGACGATGTTGGGTTGCAGGAAAAAATTGAATTGATTGAGTGATTACATATAAAATGGTGGGGTATTAGATTTATTGACGGACTGGGTTGCAGTTAGCCTAAGGGTATTAAAAGGTGTTTAATTCAAAATAAGGAAGTTGGGACGTGGGCCGAAAATATTGAAGGAGGTTTGATCTCATGAAAGAGCAAAAAATGCAAAGTTCAAGGCTCCATAGACAACATTAAATGGAGTGTACTTTCATATTTTAAAGTTCTGATTTCATATAAAAAAGCATTAAATGGAGCGTACTTTAATATCTTAACTATGAGAACATATAAAAAAATCTTGCGGCTAAAGAGCACATTTAATGCATACAACAACATCCTAAAATCCATTGATTAAAACATAACGGTTACTAGATTTTAAAGGGCTATAAATACCACTTGACTTGGCAGTTTAACACCACAACACATCCAAACTACTTGGCAACTAAGCATGGCAACTGAGCAATTCCGATGAGTTCATCAAATACGGGTTTTGCAATGCGAAAAAGTAATATTTTACCTATCGGTTCAATTAATTGAATTTAGATGGTAACATGTCTTTTTTTATGATTTTACCAAGGGTTCTTAACATTCAATTGTATGAGAGGGCTGAAGGATTCATGTTTGAGTGAATAGGCCTCAAATAGAGATGCACAAGTAAAAAATAATAGAAAATTGTGTGTATGGTATGAGAAACTTTTTGGTACCAGATAGCTACCAAAGTATCAAAACCATAAATCATCCATACTTGATCATGTTATATGGGATAGGCCAACATACCAGTTACCACAAGGGTATGTAAACAATAGATGGTGAAAGAGTTTTAAAACCACCTTTGATGACAAAAATTCATTTTACAATCACACACAACTACACTTATAATACTGTCTTTTTTGTATACATAATAGCTATTCATATACATATTGGTAAGGTCCCCAAAGTCCTCGCGGCTGCACCAGCTGCTGGACTGCGCGCCCACAGTTTGGGTGCGGACTCTTCTGCTGCGTGACAGTCGTTCAGAGAGGTCATGAGTGTTCCTTGATTTTTTTTTCTGTCATCTTACTTAGCTTGTTTTAAAACTGATAAAGGTGGGTTGTAGCTGAGAGCTGATTCCGAAAGAACTTTTTTATCAGTTTCCCAGAGACGTTACCAATGTTGGGGTTTATTCCTTCAATCCGTAGGCTCAACACGTAACCCAAGGATTTCGTATGGAAGGTGTGGTGATATGTATCTTAACAAGCAAGATGAGGCCCAATAAGAAGTCTTAATATTCAGCAACCGTTACAAAGCCCTGAGGTCGTTCGTACAATTGCTATGCTACAAGCTAATATGAATGCTATAATGCTAGAGTGCTAAGTTGTCAACCCTTTACAATGAAATAAATGCTACTATTTATACTACCAAGGAGTAGTTAGACATGCTGACGAGGTGGGATGTGGATGGCAAGGACCCAATCACCAAATCTTCCGCATTGAATGTGCCTCCCGCCACAATCTGATTTCCCGCCAAGAGGTGGCGATGAGTGTCCTCATGAACTTGCCTCCTGGGTTCTGCCGGCCCCAAGTTATAGAGTCCGAGCGTTGCTCGTTGCTCCTGGGCCAAGGTACCTGTCTGCCCTTGGATGCGTGCGTCCCTTGGGCTTTGATGATGTGGGTTGGTTCTGTTGGGGACGTACCTCGCCACGATCCGGGAGAATGCATCCCAGTTGGCTTGGTTGTTGGGGTACGTTCGTCGAGTGGCCCTTAAGGGTTGATGGGCCAATCCCAGTTGGGCCATTAACCCAATCAAATAATATCATATACTACCTTTGTCTCGGTGGACTGTGCACAAGTGCAAAGTATGTGAGAAATATGAATAGTAAAAATTGTGTGGTTGTGATTTGTGCAGAGGAGAGAGAAATGTGCAGAACCACATATTAGTTACTTTAATATGAAAGTTGCAAACTTTTTTGGGACAACCAAAAACAGAAAGCTGGCAAAATCCAATGGGACGGAGGAAGTAGTTATTATTTATTTATGTCTCGTGCATCACACGGGTGAGAATCTAGTACTCCCTCCGAACCTTATTAAATGTTACACTTTGACTTCACACATATTAAATAAATAAATTTGATTTTACTGTAGAGTGCACTGTTTGACACTGTTTGACACTGTTTGGCACTATTTTGCACTGTTTGGTGTAGATTTGTTTGTCAAATAAATCAAATAAGGAAGTGTAAAGTTTAATATGGGATAGCCCAAAAAGGAAAGTGTAAAGTTAATTAAGAACCGGAAGGAGTAATACATAAAAGTACATTATGATGCAAATAATAGCACTGTTTGACACCGTCCCAATTTGATGTTTTCGTTACGGTTTACGATGCTTGATCGACTACATTAAAGGTTTACAAAGCGTAAAAGAGAAAAATAAATTCTATAAAAGTATAAGAGAATGATTTGCGTTGACAAAGTGAATATGAATCGGGAACATCAAATTTGGACGGAAATTGGAAATTTTGAGTAATCATACCTACCAGAAAATGTTTGCCGCCCCAACTTGCCCCCTTGCTTTAAACCTTTTTTTACACCGCCACAGGCTATAAGCCTACGAGCCTACTATCTATCATTATATAAAAGCAAAAGGTTTTTGGCACTATTTTTTCAACAGTATTCCCGCTTGGAAATGTCAAAATCAGCAAACAGTGCAAGTTAACATAGAAAAAAAGTGCTTGGGAAAAAAAGAAAATAAATTAGTCTAAAAAGTATACAAAAGGAAACTTTCTTGGTAATCAGGATGAAAAACTGCAACGAAGTTACATGAGAGAAGTATATAAAGCTGCGAGGGTCTTCCTCCGTACATGTGCACAGTAGAAACATTAAAGAAAGTGCAACAGTGCAACAATACACAGTCTTTACGGCTCCAATCAAATCTGGCCAGGCTTTTTTAGATGCATGCGCACTTATGGCCAACCTGTTCCTTGGGGTACGAGTAATATCAGCCAATCAAAATTTGCCAGCCTATTCTTGAGATATGTATTTTCTTGATAGGAAGATCATTCATTCCCTTATAAATACTACTCTTTCACAGCGCACATTTCACACAATTGTTAACTTCATCTCTTTCTCTCT